TTCAGTCTTCCTTATTCATTGTCCAGCTTTCACATGCATATGAGTCAATTGAAGATACCATGGCTTAGGTCAGGTGCACCTGAGTCCTCAAGGTGACATCTTTGCTTGTTAACACTTTAAAGAGGTCTTTTGCAGCAGATTTGCCCAGTGCAATGTGTTGTTTGATTTCTTGACTGCTGCTTCCATGGGTGTTGATTGTGAATCCAAGGAAAATGAAATCCTTGACAACGTTAGTCTTTTCTCCATTTATCATGATGTTGCTTTTTGTGTTCTTTATGTTGAGGTGTAATCCATACTGAAGGCTGTGGACTTTGATCTTCATCCGTAAGTGCTTCAAGTCCTCTTCACTTTCAGCAAGCAAGGTTGTGTCATCTGTATAATGCAGTTCATTAATGAGTCTTCCTCCAATCCTGATGCCCTGTTCTTCTTCATATAGTCCAGCTTCTTGAATTATGTGCTCAGCATACAGATTAAATAGGTATGGTGAAAGGATACAACCCTGACAAACACCTTTCCTGACTTTAAACCACGCAGTATCCTTATTCTGATCGAACAACTGCTTCTTGATCTATGTACAGGTTCCTCAAGAGAACAATTTAAGTGCTCTAGAATTCCCATTCTTCCCGAGGTTATCCATAATTTGTTATGATCCACACAGTCGAATGCCTTTGCATAGTCACTAAAACACAGGTCAATATCTTTCTAGTGTTCTCAGCTTTCAGCCATGATCCATCTGACATCAGCAGTGATATCGCTGGTTCCACAGCCTCTTCTGAATCTGGCTTGAATTTCTGGCAGTTCCCTGTCGATATACTGCTGCAGCCACTTTTGAATTATCTTCAGCAAAATTTTACTTGTTTGTGATATTAATGATATTGTTCGATGATTTCTGCATTCTGTTGAATCATCTATCTTGGGAATAGGCATAAATATGTATCTCTTCCAGTCAGTTGGCCAGGTAGCTGTCTTCCAAATTTCTTGGCATAGACAAGTGAGCGCTTCCAGCACTGCATCCATTTGTTGAAACATCTCAGTTGGTATTCTGTCAGTTCCTGGAACCTTGTTTTTCACCAGTGCCTTCAGTACAGCTTGGACTTCTTCCTTCAGTACCATTGGTTCCTGATCATATGTTACCTCCTGAAATGGCTGAATGTCCACCAGTTCTTTTTGGTGTGGTGACTCTGTGTATTCCTTCCATCATTCTCACCCTCTTCTGAGTCATTCCTCCCCCATTAACATAAACTTACTGTCCCCTGTGGTTCCTAGCTGATCTTTCAAGTTGCTATTGTCCATTTGATCACATATAGATAGTTCTTAAAAGAACATAATGCTTAAGGCAGACCTTTTTACTAGTTAAGCTAAACTATAGTTTGGTTTTAAGATGATTTTAGGAAATATTTTTGGTTTAAGGTTTAAAGATTTTCTCAGCACAGTGGTACCAGGGGTTCAGCCAGCCTCCATGGCTCCAGAAAGTCTGGAGTCCATGAGAATTTGAAATTCTGTTTTACATTTTCCCTCTTTTGATCAGGATTCTTCTACGCAATCTTTCATCAAAATGTTCAGTAATGGTAGCTGGGCATCATCTGGACTTCTGGACTCATGGCAAAGGAGGCCATTGTTCATGAAGGCAATTACACACATTCCATTTGCTTCTCCTATTCCTGACTCTTCTTCTTCCTCTTTTGCTCTGGGTGAATAGAGGGCAATTGTTGTGCCTTGGATGGCCGCTTGCAAGCTTTTAAGACCCCAGGCACTATACAGCAAACTAGGAGGTAGAGCAGAAGCACTAAACATGTTATTAGGCCAGTTAACTGGGACGTCCCATGACACCGTGACCCTAAACCTCCAAACCAAAGACCCAAATCCCATGAGGTGTTTGGTTGTACATAAGCGGTCTCAGCAGCTACTCTTTTTCGTCATTGTTATAAATATGTCTGCCACACAACTTTTGTCAATTCAACTTTCTAGGTGTACAACTTACTGACAGCACTTACAATAATTGACTGTGCAAACCTACCCTTAATCAGTGCAATTTTTCCATCACCATAAACTGAAACTCAGTGCTCCATAAGCAATAGCCTCCCTCCCTTTTTCAGTCTGTCTGCCCCTGGTGACCACTGATAAACTCTGCTCTCCATACATGTGCCTGTTCTTGTCTTTTTATGTAAGTGAGGTCATACAATGTTTGTCCTTTTGTGACTGACGTATTTCACGCGGTATGTCTTCCAGCTCCATCCTCACTGTTGCATGTATCCAGACTGCGTTTCTCCTACTGGCTGAGTAGTATTCCATTGTATGTATGTCCCACATAGTGTTTGTCCATTCTTCTGTTGATGGGCATGTATGGTGTTTGTACCTTTTGACTCTTGTGAATATTGCTGCAGTGAATCCAGAGCGAAAAAACAAACCCACCGCCGTCAAGTCGATTCTGACTCATAGTGACCCTATAGGACAGGGTAGAGCTGCTCCATGGGGTTTCCAAGTTGTAGGTCCTTATGGAAGCACTGCCGCGTCTTTCTCCTCCAGAGGGGCTGGTGGGTTCGGGCTGCTGGCCTTTTCAGTTAGCAGCCAAGCGCCTAACCGCGGTGAACGTTGGTGTATGAGTCTCTGCTTTCAGATCTTTCGGGTGTACACCTAGGAATTGGAATTGCTGAGTCATATGGTAGTTCTGTTTTTAGTCTTTTGAGGAACCGCCACACAGTTTTCCACAACGGCCCTATCGTTTTGCATTCCCATCAGCAATGGATGAGGGTTCTAGTTTCCCCACGTCCTCACCAACATTTATTATTTTCTGTTTTTTTTTTTTTCAATCTTGGCCATCCTGGTCTGAGTGAAATGGCGTCTCACTGTGTTTTTGATTTGTATCTCTCTGATGGGTAATGATGCTGAGCATCTTTTCATGCGTCACTAAGTGTTCCCTCCCCAAAACTTTCTTGTTAGAAGGATTTACAGTTGGGGAATTTGTGGTTGAGGAACTTGTAAGACCTCATAGCTAAAGTAAGATTGGGGGACTGGTCTCAGGTGAACGCAAGAAGGCCTTGTGTTTTCACAGTCACCGAAATGAGGTTGCACGTGATGTAGCAGGACCCTATTCTTTCATAAACAACGTGCCCATGGAAATAACACACCCACACACAACTCGCAGAAATGATGAGATTAAGTAAAACAGTTCTGGCACAGTGCTGTTTGCATAAAAATGTGGTAGTGTCCCGGTCCCCTAGGCCTCCCATTCCCACCGTCCGCACGCTTATCCAGGCAGACGCTCTTCAGGGCCCTCCCGCAGCTTTACTGAGTTGCACCTTCCTGCATGCTCCCTCCCGTTTGGAATGCTAGCATACATAGGGGCAGATTTCCTGTGTCGGGCCTCTCCGTCAGAGCTGAGCACCTTCTTTCTGGTGGTGTGATTGTGCATTTTTGACACAGTCTCCCATGGGGGGTGCAGATGGCCATCCCCTGGTCACTTATGAGAGGTCACAGCAGCAAGAAGTGGTAAATGATAGGTCAAAGGACATGGCGGCCCCGGGGGTCCTCAGGGGCAGGGGCCGTGATGAGCGGGGTCCCATCCTGGGTGAGGCAGGTCAGGGTGCACTTTCTTCCAGCAGAGCCTGGGAGACAGGGAGACATTCAAAGAGGGGTGCTTCAGTGGGCTGTAATGAGCCCACAGTTCATGGTGCAGTGGGGCGGAAGCCTAAGGTGGCCCCGCCTTAGCCTTTCCTCGTCTCTCAGGCCACTGTCACCCTCATCCGAGCTCCTGAGAGGTGGTCTTTCCAATCCTCAGTCAGGCGTATGAGCCTGGCCTGGAGCCCGGAAGCACAGCACTCTCCCTGGAGCGTGCTGGCCGTGTGGAGGTGCTACAGCAGCCCAGGCTCCAGACCTGCGTGGGTGTTGGTGCTGGCCTCATGGGGGGCCCATGTGGGTGTCGGTGCTGGCCTCGTGGGGGGCCCGCGCGGGTGTCGGTGCTGGCCTCATGGGGGGCGCGCATGGGTGTCGGTGCTGGCCTCGTGGGGGGCCTGCACGGGTGTCGGCGCTGGCCTCGTGGGGGGCGCGCGTGGGTGATGGTGCTGGCCTCGTGGGGGGCCCGCATGGTTGTCGGTGCTGACCATGTGGGGGGCCCGCGTGGGTGTCGGTGCTGGCCCTGTGGAGGGTGGCCTGGTGGCCTGGCACGTGGATGCCTCTCTGACCCTGCTGCTTGCTCTCCTGCAGTCGTGGCTTTGCGGCTTCCACTCTGCCTTGCTGCTGAGCAGGACGAAGCCCCGGCCGCCCCCCACCGCGTCCTTCGGGAGGAACATCAGGGTCTCACACGCAAGGTAAGGCGCTCTCTCTCCCCCAGTGCAGCACCCTCACCAGGCAGGATGGTGACCCTGTGGGGGCGTGGAGGTAGAGGTGCAAATGGGGTGGCCCCCCTGGCTCCATGGCAGCAGTTCAGGGAGCCTGAGTCTGGCCCTCTGGGGAGAGCGTCTCCCTGATAGCACACAGCCTGAGCAGACAGCCCGTGAGCCGAGGCGCGCTCAGGTGGATGTGAACTCTGAGGGGGGAGCAGGCTGCCATGTGGGTGGGGGAGGTAGGACTGCTGTGGACAACAGAGGTGGCAACAAGTGACACCAGAGAAGATGTGGGAAGGGGTTCCAAGAAGAAGGGCTGCTCGGAGGCCCTGTGGCCAGTGTGGATGGACCACAGTGGGTGGGGAGGGTGGGCAGGGTGGACACTCAGGCCAGAGCGCATGCTTGTTATGGTTGACATGGCTGAGCTCCTCCTCCAGGGCTGTGTTTGGGGCACCCAGTGCCCGTGTAATGGTGCCTGTGAGTGTGGAGACAAATGGTGCTCAGCTGTGTGCAGTGTGCATTGGGCTCCGGCTGTGTGCAGCATGCATTGAGCTCCGGCTGTGTGCAGTGTGCATCTTGAGCTTTGGCTGCAGCAGAAAGCTAGCCTGGCACGAGTTGGGGAGGAAGGGACAGAGTCAGGTGGTGACCAGGGCCCGTGTCTGTCTCCCCTCCAGCTCCGGGCGCCCCAAGCCGCTGTGGAAGAAGGTGATGTCCGCCACGGTGGTGGGGGTGCCTCTGCTCCTTGGCGTCCGCTACCTCATGGCAGAGGCGCGGGAGAAGAGGAGGATGCGGCTCATGGTGGAGGGTGTCGGGCGCTTTAGTAGGTCGGTGGCTGCCAGGCCAGGGTGGAAGTGTGACCTCGTCCCCCTTGTGGGCTGCTCAGGCTGGCCTCAGTGTAGCTGGGCCCACTGGTCATGTGGCCTGTGGTCAGCTCAGGAGGGGCTACAGGGAGTCTGCGTGGGCCTGGTTTGGAGGGGCTGGACCACTGTCCGTGACTTCAGCCCCCACATCCTTTCCCTGAGACTAGCCTCCGCCTTTGTAGGGAGGAGCTGCACACAGGGCTTGCTTTTCCCCCGCCTCCAGACAGACAAGCGTTTGGTCCCCCTTCCTGCTCTTCTCTCTTCTTTTCCTCTTATTCACCTCTCCCTGCCCCAGCTCTACAACAGAGGCCAAACAGAGTTGGCACCCAGACAGGGAGAAGTTTGGGACACAGACAGGAGGGCTGCTGCTCTCGCCTCACTCCTGGTGTGTGATGTCCAGATGTGGGCTGATCTGGTGTTGCTGTCGGGTCCTCAGCGGATGGTTTTACCGGAGCCCTGTCATCTGCTTTATCTCCCAGTTCCGGATTCTGGGCGGGCACTTCCTGCCGGACGGCCTTGGTTCACAGCAGCCTTGGTCTCCTGCAGCCACAGGCCTGGTGCCTGACCTCCTCGGAACCGCCTCCTGGCTCTGAGTGAAGCTTCAGTTAGCCGGGACCTAGTTCACCCAACAACACTGTTAGCCACAGGGGTCTGTGGCTGCCTTATGCCAGACCTCGGTCAGAAGGCTTCCAGGGGCCCCTGTCCATGCTCTGCTGGCTCCTGGCACTGCTGCCTCTCCAGGGCCAGGCTGACTTCCAGGGGAAGCCGCTTAGGACCCACAGTGGGACTCATTTAGATTCATTCTGCTCTCTGAAGGGCATGTGGCACATGGATAGACGGATGGGTCATTGGATGGATAGGTGGGGGCGGGGGGCGGGCGGTCAGGTGGATGGACAAATGGGCACATGGGTGGACAGACGGAGGGACGGTTGGGTGGACGGACAGATGGGCAGATGGGTGGGTGGAGAGATGGATGGGTAGATGGAAGGATGCATGTGTGAAGATTTCCAGCCCCGAGGACGAAACAAATGGTCAGAGGTTGCTCCTCTAAGCCCCATCTCGCTGGGTGCTGTGGTTAGTGGGTTTGCCTGGCGCCTCTTCTTGTCATCCGTGTTAGTAGGTTCTGGGAGGTGTCCTCTGTTCTGTCCATCTCTCCTTTACTAGCCCTGGGGCCCATGCGGCTCGAGCATGGGGCTGTGTGTGTTGTTCATGGCCCGTTCACCGTGGTGGACCGGAGGGAAGGGGAGGCGGGCCCGCCCAGGTACGGCTGGTCCTGGAGTGCACACTGTGTAGTCTGGGTTTGTCTTTGCACATCCGCCTTACTGTCTTCTGGTGCTCAGAGACCCAGCGATGGCCTCGTGTGTGCCTCACTGCTCTCAGAGGCTGAGCTGGTATCGGAAGAAGGGAAGGAAGCTCTAAGCCCTAACAGTTGCTTGGGCCAGCAGGCTTCACGGAGTCCCAGTTGGGTACAGGACACGGGGCCCTGGGACAGGGCAGACATGCAGGGGCCCAAGGCAGGCACAAGGTGTGTGACCCTTCGGGCCGGCGCCCCAGAGAAGGGTCTGGAGGGGAGTAGCCGTCAGGATGATTGTACGCGCCTAAGCGCTCTGTCTGGGGTGGAAGGTTTGCGAGTGTTCCGTCATTGGCCCGGCTTCTTGCTCCTCCCCACCTAGTTCATTTAAAATTTTTAAAATCATCAGTGTTCTTCCCATTTATTGTTCTTTTCTGTGGACTGTTTGAGAGTCAGTTGTCCACGTGCCCCATCATCCCCGAATCCTTTAGCACGTCTTTCTGGTAAACAAGGGCGTTCTCCGACAGCCACAAAATCAGAAAATCGGGACGAGCCAGCCGTCTCTAACCCTCAGACCCCATTCAGGTGTAGCCAGGTGCCCAGCAGGAAGGTCCAGTGCAGGGTCACGTCTTTAGTGCCCTCGAACCTGGGGCAGGTCCTCAGTGTCTCTGGCTTTCGTGAAGATTACAGGCCAGTTATGTAGCAGGGCTGGCAAACCACAGCCCTCAGACCAAATGTGGCCAGCTGTCTGCTTCTGTAAAGACAGTTTTATTGGAACATGGCCACACCCGTACACGTACATGTTGCCCGTGGCTGCTTTGGCGTGCGCTACAGCGGCGGAGTTGAGTGGCTACAACACAGACCATGTGGCCCCAAAGCCTAAGGTATTTCTGTGTGGGCCTTTCCAGAAAGAAGTCTGCCAACCCCTGCCGTCAGTTGGGGTTTGCGTGGTGTTTCCGCTCATGGTTAGATGCTGCTGAAGCGTCCCCGACAGGAGCATGACAGAAGCGAGGCTGCTCTTGGCGGGTCCCGTCCGGCGGTGTCTGCCAGGTCGCACTGCTGTGGAGCTCCTTGTCACCAACAGTTGGCCCCGGCAGCCGCTGTTCGGTGTGTCGCTGGCCTGTTGCTTGTTGCGCTTCACCCCCGGCCTCAGTACGCGTTGATCCTTCTGGGGAGAACGCACTCTTCTCGGCGTTGCCGAGTGCTGGCGGCTCTGATGCTGCCATTCCTTCTGCCTTGGTTGTTGGCATTCTGCTGTAAGGAAGGGTCTTCTCCCCGTTGATTTGTTCCTATCAGTACGGACACGTGGACTTCTCTCTCATCGGGCGGGCTGTTACCTGTTCACATCATCACTGTTGTCACGGTTGTCCTGGATTTGACCGTGGGGTCCCTCTTTATCCCCACCATTTTATAAGGAAAATTTCAAACACAGCAAAATCGAGGAAGTTTTACAGTGAACACCCATGTGCCCACCACCTGGATTTACCAGGAGCAGGTCTGTCCTTCCAACATGTCAGCATCGTTCTTTGGAGTGTTTTATTCCTCCCTGGGCCCGAAAACCAGGAGTCTGCACTGAAGCCTCCAGCTCCGATCCGGCACCGGGCTCCCGTCCGGCACGCGGCTCCCGTCCGGCACAGGGCTCTCCGGTTCTCTCCCTTCTCCCACCCTCCGTAGTGCACTCACTCACTGGACCAGTCGCCAGGTGCAGCCACAGCCCCGCCGGGTCCCCACACGGCCCCTGTGCAGACGCTCCCTTTGCCCTGCCGGGCTCCTGCACCTAGGCTGGTCACTCCACCCCCCATGCTTGCCAATGGGACCCCCCTCGATTCAGCACCTGGGTGGGGCGGAGCTGCCACCTCGCGGCTTTTGGATGGAAGTATCCAGGAAGGAGGGAAGCCTGATACTTTGACTTTTTTTAAAAATAAATTTTATTTTTTAGAGCAGTTTTAGGTTTACAAAGCGATTGTGCGGAAAGTACAGAGAGACCTCCAAGTGTAAAGCCCTGGCGCCTGCACACCGTGTGCTGTTAACATCGGGCATTCCTGTGTGTTGGTTTGTTACAATGCACGAACCAACGTGGATACCTTATTGTTACCTGAAGCCCACAGTTCCCATCGGGGCTCTGTTGAAGTCCTCTGGGTTTTGACAAATCCACCATGTCACATGTCCACCATCACAGGATCATACAGAATAGTCACTGCCCTAGAAGTACCCCACGCCTACCCGTCTATCCCCCCATCCTGAACCCGGGCCAGACTAAAGAAGTGGTGCCCGCGGTCAGGCCTGCCTCAGGCCCTCCTGGAGCCGCCCGTGGGGCCAGCAGTGCCCTGTCGGCTCCCAGCACCGTCCCCACGCTGTCCCGGGCGCATGTGCTGCCCAGCCGCCTCTGAGCACTTCGCGTGCCCTTGAAGCCATATTTTAAAAACTAAATCCCTTTTCCACCTTAGAGCAAAAGTTTGTGGAATTTTTTCACATCTTTTATTTTTATTACAAAAGTATTTTAATATAAAAATTCTCATAGAAGTAAAACAGTCTGAATGTGCCTCCTGACCCTACATCAAGGGTGAAGACCAGGAAGGGTTTGTCAGTGCGTGTGCTGAACGGGCCCCATCTGACTGCGCTCACACAGCTGGGCAGAACAGAAACGGGATCGTGCCACATACGCTGCCCCAAGGACCCCAGCCCCTGGCCCGGGAGCCCTTCAGCCGGTGCACGTGGCCCCTAAGCACCCTGTCGGTAAAGAACCCCTGGGTGTAAGATTCTCATGAGTGTGCGTCAGTAGCTCGTGCCCTACTAGGTAGAGACCGCAGCTCCAGGTGGCAGATTATTCAGATCGATTCCTCGAGAACTCAGCACCCCCAGAGTGCACGTGGGCACGCGGCTGCTGCTGCCAGAAGCTCTGCCCTGACCCGCTCCGTTCCCAGAGGGGGGACACAGGCGCCGATCGGCCACGCGGGGGTCTCGTGTACACGTGTGTGCGTGCGCGCGTCTCATCCTCCCCACACGCACACAGGCTGAGTGGACGGGGGTAGCTTCTAAACAAAAAGCAAGCTGCTTTACAAGAAGGGGTGATGGGTGGGCGTGTCCCTCACCCCTCTGTGGGTCAGAGGTGAGCGCCCTGCCCTCCTGGTTACTGACAGCCCTGCCTTTCTTCAACACTGTGGGGCTCTACTGGAGGTCAGTCCTGTCCATGGGACCTGGGCGGCCTCTAAGCCTCAGGGCTCTGGAACAGTTAGGAAGCTTCATGGACTCCAGAAGATTCCTAACTGGTGGACACAGGCTCCAGGGCTCCCTGTGGGAACCCCGAGTGGTGCCGGGTTTATCAAGAGCTCACCAGGCAGCCAGTGCCTGGCACGAGGATTGAGCTCTAGGGAACGTGGTATTGGCCGAAGGGGCCCCCAGCCCCCTTCCCCGGCTCACTCCCTGCTGGGGCCTTCCTCTGACCCGGGCTCAGCCTCCTGCCCGAACTGTCCCCTGGAGCTGGAGACGGTGCCTATAAATGGCCACTCCATCCCCACTCCTCCCAGCAGCCTTCCACCTCCCCCAAGACCTTCCTGCGGAATCTCAAGGTCTGACCTCCTGCCCCTCCAAGCCCCATCACCCTACACTGCCCTCTGGTCCCACCCCTTTCCTCATGGTCCCAAGACCCCATCCCTCCTGTCCCTGTTCCCTCCATATCTCCTTCCTTGCATACCGCACCCCTGCTCCTTCTCATCTCACCTGGACACCCAGTGGGGTCACGTCCAGTGGGTGGGGAGGTGGTGTGGGACGGAGACTGCTGAGACTGACCTGCTGGGAACCACATGGAGCAGAAGGAGGGCCGGCCAGGACCCCTCAGCTCCTGGTCCAGCGCCCACCTGGTACCCCAGGACGCCTGTGAACACAGCACCCTCATGTGTTTGCCCTGGCCCCCAGGGCAGGGCCCCATGGTTCACTCCAAGCCCGGGCTCCCAGACCCCTTCCTGTTCAGGGTGGCCCCCTCTGCCCGGGGGGCGGGCTTGGCCCAGCACTCAGTGGCCTCTCCCTCAGGTCCCTGAGCATCGGCCTGCAGATCTCCGTGGACTACTGGTGGTGCACCAATGTTCTTCTGCGGGGTGTGGACGAGGTTTGTCCCCTGTCCTGGGCGTGGCTGCGGCCGCTGGTGCCCATGCCACTCTGGGGGGGTAGGTGCCCTGGATGAGGTAGGCGGTGGCCTGGACTGGGAGGGGACGGTCTGCCTGCCCCGACCCCATCCCTCCCCTGTGCCTGTGGTCAGAACAGCCCGAGGTACGTGGAGGTGATGTCTGCATGTCATCAGCGGGCAGCCGACGCCCTGGTGGCCGGGGCTATCAGCAACGGGGGCCTCTACATCAAGCTGGGCCAGGGCCTGTGCTCCTTCAACCACCTGCTGCCCCCCGAGTACATCAGGACCCTGCACGTGCTGGAGGACAAGGCGCTCACGAGGAGCTTCCGGGAGGTGAGCGTGGGGCGTGGAGGTGGGGCTGGTGGGGCCCCTGCGGCCGGCGGCAGCTGCACTGGGCCTCCCTGCCCAGGTGGACGAGCTGTTTCTTGAGGATTTCCACGCGCCAGCCCATGAGATCTTCCAGGAGTTCGACTACCAGCCAATAGCGGCCGCAAGCCTGGCCCAGGTGCACAGGGCCAAGCTGCATGATGGCACTGATGTGGCCGTGAAGGTGCGTGGGGAACCTCAAGAGGGAGCGCAGAGCGTGGGGTGCTGTTGGGGATGCGCCGCCGCACGACTGCCTGCGCCCGCCCACCCAGGTGCAGTACATTGACCTGCGGGACCGGTTCGATGGTGACATCTATACCCTGGAGCTGCTGCTGCGGCTCGTGGAGCTCATGCACCCCAGCTTTGGCTTCAGCTGGGTCCTCCAGGTAATGTGGGTGCCAGGCCAGCCTTCTGTGGGGTGGTGGGGGAGGGGGGTGCCAGGCACGAGCCTGATGCTGTGTGGCCCCCAGGACCTGAAGGGGACACTGGCACAGGAGCTAGACTTTGAGAACGAGGGCCACAACGCAGAGCGCTGTGCGCGGGACCTGGGGCACTGCCACTACGTCGTGGTGCCACGCGTGCACTGGGACAAGACCAGCAAGGTGGGCACGGCCGGCCCGCAGGTGGGGGGCAGCCGGGCCTGCTGAGCCAGCGCCTTCTCCCTCCCAGCGTGTGCTGACCGCGGACTTCTGCGAGGGCTTCAAGGTCAACGACGTGGAAGCCATCAAGGCACAGGGGCTGGCGCTGCAGGACGTGAGTGCGTCACACGGGGTGGGGGGGCTGGCGCTGCAGGACGTGAGTGCGTCACACGGGGTGGGGGGGCTGGCGCTGCAGGACGTGAGTGCGTCACACGGGGTGGGGGGGCTGGCGCTGCAGGACGTGAGTGCGTCACACGGGGTGGGGGGGCTGGCGCTGCAGGACGTGAGTGCGTCACACGGGGTGGGGGGGCTGGCGCTGCAGGACGTGAGTGCGTCACACGGGGTGGGGGGGCTGGCGCTGCAGGACGTGAGTGCGTCACACGGGGTGGGGGGGCTGGCGCTGCAGGACGTGAGTGCGTCACACGGGGTGGGGGGGCTGGCGCTGCAGGACGTGAGTGTGCAGCATGGGGTTTGGGATGGGGGAGCTGATGCCACAGGACATGAGTGTGGTGTGGGGGGGGCATGCACCCCATCCCCCACCGTGCCGTAGCCACCCATCCTCCCCCAGATAGCCCAGAAACTGATCCAGGCCTTCGCGGAACAGATATTCTACACGGGCTTCATCCACTCTGACCCACACCCTGGCAATGGTAGGAGAGGCCCCCAGGAGTAAGGCTGAGGGGACTGGCTGCGGGGGCAGGGGCAGGCCTGAGCCAGCTACTGTGTCCCCAGTTCTGGTGCGGAAAGGCCCAGACGGGAAGGCGGAGCTGGTGCTGCTGGACCACGGGCTCTACCAGTTCCTGGATGAGAAGTAAGTGGGGGTAGGTGGGAGCGCCCATCCCAAGACCGGCCTGCCCTGGCCGCTCCAGGTGACCGTGCTGGCCTGCAGGGACCGCTCAGCGCTGTGCCAGCTGTGGCGGGCCATCATCCTGCGGGACGATGCGTCGATGAAGCTGCATGCCGCAGCGCTTGGGGTGCAAGGTGAGGGTGCTGAGGTGCCGGAGTGCTGGGTGGGGAGGGGGGTGGGTAGTGGTACTGCAGACCTGCTCAGCCCCACCCACTGCCCCCAGACTACTTCCTGTTCTGCGAGGTGCTGATGCAGCGGCCTGTGCGCCTGGGCCAGCTGTGGCGCTCCCACCTGCTAAGCCGCGAGGAGGCGGCCTACATGCAGGACATGGCACGCGAGCACTTCGAAGACATCATGAGCGTGCTCAAGGCCCTGCCGCGGCCCATGCTGCTCGTGCTGCGCAACATCAACACCGTGCGCGCCATCAATGCCTCCCTCGGTGCCCCTGTCGACCGCTACTTTCTCATGGCCAAGAGGTTGGTGGCTCCCAGCGGGGTAGGGGGGCGCGAGGGGGACACGGGCTGACCCATGTGTCTGGCACAGTGCGGTCAAGGGCTGGAGCCGCCTGGGGGGCGGCACGTACCAAGGCATCTACCGCTTCAGCCTCTTACGCCAAATCAAAGTTGTCTGGGAACTGCTCAAGTTTGAAGTGGCCCTGAGGTGAGTGGGGGGGATGGAGACCCAGGGGTGAGTGGGCAGCAGGGCCCAGGGCCGGCTCCCCACCAACCTGCGACTTGCCCACCCCAGGCTGGAGATCGTTCTGATGCGGGTCACAGCCTTGGTGGTCCGCACCCTGGTGCACCTGGGCCTGGTGACTGAGCCCGAGGGCCTCTACGAGTACCTGGAGACCTAGGCCACCCTCCCTGCAGGACAGGAGGACCTTGAATGCAGCAGGGCTGCCAGCGGCGGCCCAACAGAGCCAGCACTCAGGGCTGGCAGCACAGTGGCTCAGACCCAGGCCCAGAGCAGCTGCAGCCTCGCGCAGCCCGGTGGGACTCAACTGCGGCCTGGTTGGGGGCCTTGCAATGAATGCACACTTTTTTCCAAACAAATCGTTTTCCTTGTGTTATGTACAAAAAGGGTGGAGGAGGATGGGGATGGGGGCAGTGGCATCACCCGCGAAACTAGAAGTGAGCGGTGACGCGGTCCGTCTCCAACAGGTCGTCCAGGATCTGTGGGTACAGGGGTGGTGGTGAGGCCCGTGGGACAGGGCAGCGGGTGGAGGACGGGCAGGGGGATCACTCACGATGTCGGGCGTGGTGCCGATCTTCTTGGCCAGCTCGCCGCGCTCCATGGTGCTGAGGTAGAGGTACCGGTTGAGCAGCTCCCCGTCCAGGACATTGCGCACAGCATTCTGCAGGATGCGCCGGTCCACGTGCAGCATGCTGGGGGAGGGGCAAAGTTAGGGGGGACCGAGGGGGCATGGGGCGGGGGGATCGTGGGCTGGGAGGGCACCCACCGGAAGGCGCGGGGGTTGAGGCCGGCATGGTGGGGCAGCATGGTGGTGAGAGCGTTCTGCAGCATCAGCAACCGCCGGTACGTTTTCTCCTGCATGGGCAGGAGGAGCCCAATGCCGCCGTCCAGCGTGGCTGTGGGGCCAGGCATGTGAGCTGGTGCCGCCCCCTGCCCCGCCCCCAGGCCCCGCCCCCTGCCCCGCCCGCAGGCACTCACCGAACCACGTGATATGCTTATTCTCCCACACCACTGACTTCTTGCTGGGCCCCTCTGCGGCGCCCCGGCATGGGGTCCTCCAGAAGGTGTTGACGTGGGCGCCCACATGGAAATCAGCCCGGCGCAGCAAGCGCATCCCCCCAAAACTCTCCTTGGCTGGGCAGAGACCACTGTCACTGCCCGCCCTGCCCCCAGCCCCCCACCCCCAGTGGGGAGGGCGCCGGCTCACCTTCCGGCAGGTACATGTACACCATAAGGTTGCGGTCTCGGTCGGACACTGGGGAGGAGAGGCCAGAGGGTCAGCCAGCCACCCCAGCACAACCTGGCCCTCGTGCCCCACCCCGCGCCCACTCACCCAGGAAGCCCAGCTGGGCATTGTCCACCATGAAGTCCACACTGTACACCTCGAGAGGCTTGGCGTCCTGTGGAGGAGAAGGGGGAGTCAGGTCGGCCTAGGGCCGACCCAGACACCCAGACAAGCGGCACCGGGCCCCCATATACCCGAGACACGAGGCTCAGGGTCTTGCTCTCCTCCTGGTAGCGCAGCAGTGAAATGCTCTTCATGACGTCCGCAGCCAGGATGAAGTTCTTCACGCTGATCATCTGGTGGATGTACAGCTGTGTGTCGATGAAGGCCATGCCCGTCAGCTCACTGGCCCGCAGGCTCCACAGGAAGATCTGGGGGGCGGGCGTGGCAGCAGGGGGTGAGCAGGGAGTGTTATTCCCAAGGGGAGCAGGGTGAGGGCTGATCCTGGGGGAGCAGAGTGAGTGGGGGGCTGACTCCCGGGGGAGCAGGGTGAGTGGGGGGCTGACTCCCGGGGGAGCAGGGTGAGTGGGGGGCTGATCCCGGGGGAGCAGGGTGAGTGGGGGGCTGATCCAGGGGGAGCAGGGTGAGTGGGGGGTGGCTGGCTCCTGGTGGGGGCACCATACCTTCTGGCCGATGGCCGACACCAGGTGGCCATTGCAGTGACACAGGGCAGTGACTGGACCCTTTTGCTCCTTCTCGTACAGGACCTTGAACTTGTTCTTGGTGAGGGGCTGGCCGGGCTCAGGCACCACCTCAATCACGTCCATGATCAGGATCTGGGGGTGTGGGGGCTGTAGCGCGTGGGGACGGCAGAGGGGCTTCGGGCCGGCCCCACCCAGCTTGCCCAGCCTTACCCGCCCTCGGCATGTGACCTCCTCCCCCTGCATGAGGCAGGTGCCGGCGGCCACGTAGCCCTTGAGGCCTGACACAGTCTCCTCGCTGCGCAGTGACACCGTCTTCATGCACGTCACATGCTCCCACTCCTCCAGCTCGATTCTGCGGGTGGCAGGGGCCTCGTCAGGATGCACCCCACCACACCCTGCCCACCCCACCCGCCCAGGCCGAGGCCCACCTGGCATTGGGAATGGCCTCCCAGCTGACCGGGGAGATGAGCTGGATGGAGAAGGCTTCCTGCTGGGGATGGATGTAGCGGTCATCTGAGGGCAGAGGGACACTGGTTACGGGGTGGTGGTCCCAGTGGGGAGAAGGCAGAGGGTTACAGGGTGGTGGGGGCAGCAGGGTGGCGGCCGTGAGGGGAGAGGGCAGAGGGGCAGTGATTACAAAGTGGCGGTCACAGCGGGGAGAGGGCAGTGGGGCGGCAATCAGGCAGGACGCCCCAGACAGGCCGTGTGAAGGAAAGACACACCCCTCTCAATGGTCTCAAACTCCTTCTCCTCGCCCGTCATGCGGGGGATGCGGGTGCAGGATGCGTTGGTGCTGGTGGCAACAGCGTACACCTGGGGGTGAGGCTGGCCATCAGGAGCCAGGCCAGGGCCAGGCCCAGAAAGCCCGTGTGTGTAAGGGGGGTGCGGCGGGGTGGGGGTCAGACCTTGGACTCCACATGGTAGGCCACATAGTGGGCCGTGCAGCGCAGCGGGACCTTCCTGACCGGCCACGGGGCGTCGTAGGACAGATAGGCGGGCAGGACACTGATGCGTAGCTCACCCTGCGGGCAGCATGGTTAGCAGGGGAGGTGGGCAGGCCACTCCAGGGGTGTCCCGGATGCCTGCCCTCAGCACCGGAAGTGTGGGGGCACCGTGTTGGCCAGAGCACCTGAGGGGGCCACGGTGGTGGATGTCCAGAGCTGTGTGCACCTCTGTCCTTGGGCCTCTGTCCAGCCCCAACACTCACTAGGGCTGCAAGTGCTGGGCACAAGGCAGGGCGGGCGGCTGGAATGTCCTGGGGTCCCAGGCAAGGGGCCGCACCGATGGGGCTGAGGGGACCATGCAAGGCACAGCTGCCCGTCCCTGAGTCGGACCACGACATCCCTGTGTCCCCTGGGCCCCCATGAAGTACTCTCACGTTGTAGCTAAGTTGGTCCTTGAACAGCCCAGGTGGCAGCTGTTCCATTTTAAACATAGACAAGGACACAGGCTCAGAGGGCGTGTGGCCTGCCCCCTCACACAACTGGCTTCAAACCGGGGCAGTCTGGTTTCTCAAAGGGACTGAGGCCAGACCTGGGCAGAGGCCATGCAGAGCAGGATGGGCCAGCGAAGAAGTGACTAGACACTGCCTGTAGGGTCGACCCCACCCAGGAGGTCCAGCTGGTGGCCACGTCGGCCCGCCCTCAATTCCTAGCTGCCCCATCCTCCCAGCTTGCCTGGCACGGAGCCCCATGTCTGCCTCGCTGTCCTTGGCCCCCACCAGCCTCTGGATGCACCTCCCTGGCCCAAGTAAGGGTCCCCTGTCCCATAATCTGGGGGCCTCGCCTCTGGGTCCCAGCACCCAGCCTGGGCAGCATCGGCAAGGGAAGGCAGGCCCCCTACCTGTCTGTTGAAATAAAGGAAGCCGCGGGGGCAGTTGACATTGTGGAAGGGGGCGAAGGAGTCGATGGGGCCGTCAATGCCCATGGGGTGCAGCCGCAGGGCCCCCCGGCCAGTCACCAGGAGCCAGTGGGGTGAGGGGCCACAGATGAACACCTGGGGGCGGGCGCCATGAAGAGGCTGGCCCCTCCCTGTCTCCTGCACCCGGACACCCCAGGGCCAGCCTGCCCTACCCCTGAGTAGCCATAAATGTCCTCGAAATAGCGGAAGCGCGCCACACGGGCTCGGACCCCAGCCCCCTCCTCGGCACTGCCGCCCTCTGCCTTCTTCTTGGACGGCTTCGGTCTCTTCTCCCGGAAGTTGATGTTGTGAGGGACCTGGGAGAGATTGTGTGAAGGCTTGGCCCCGGAGGCCCTGCCCATCAACCCACCCCCTAACGCCCTCAGCCCAGCCAGGTCCAACCACTGGCACCTTCTTGAAGCGAACTTTGAGATTGCCCTGGCCGAGCTGAGAATCGTGGGAGAAGGCCTCGTAGATGAGCAGCTCCTGGTCCACGTGCACCTGGGGGCGAAGTGTGGGGCTGTCAAGGGGTAGACAGGGGTGGAGTGTGGGGCCTTCGGGATAGGCGGGGGGTGGAGTATGGGGACGTCAGAGAAGTAGACGGGGGTAGGAGTGTGGGGCCATCGGAGATAGATGGCGGGGGAGTGTGGGGCCATCAGAGTAGACGGAGGGGAGTGTGGGATCGTCGCGGGGTAGACGTGGGGGCAGGGTGGGGCCGTCGGGGCAGACGGGGAGTGTGGGGCCGTCGGGGGGGCAGACGGGGAGTGTGCGGCCGTCGGGGGGCAGACGGGGAGTATGGGGCCATTGGGGGGGGCAGACGAGGAGTGTGGGGCCGTTGTGGGGGGTGTAGACGGGGAGTGTTGGGCTGTTGTGGGGGTAGATGGGGAGTGTGGGGCCATCGGGGGATAGACGGGGAGTGTGCGGCCATCGCCGGGTAGACGGAGTGTGGGGCCGTCAGGGGGGGTGTAGACGGGGAGTGTTGGGCTGTTGTGGGGGTAGATAGGGAGTGTGGGGCCGTCGGGGGATAGACGGGGAGTGTGCGGCCGTCGCGGGGTAGCCGGAGTGTGGGGCCGTCGGGGGCGGGTGTAGACGGGGAGTGTAGGGCTGTCAGGAGGCCAGTGTGTGGTTCTCACCAGCAGGTAAGGCCGGCTCTGGCGGCTGCCCAGCGCCACCAGCAGTACCTCCTTGACGAGGGGCAGCTCGCCCTGGCGTGTGACCTCCTCCTTGCGGGTCTCGCCCTGTGTGGTGGGCTGTCCGAAGGAGCTGTCCACCAGCACACGCTGCCCCACAGGGAAGTTCTTCACCAGGAACACCAGCCGCCAGTCGGGAAGCTGGTAGATCTGGAGGGGTGAGCAGTGGTTGGCCAGAGCTGGGTGCAGATGAGGGGCCAGCCTGGGCCGCACGGGGCGGAGTCACCCACCTCCATGGCGCCGTTCTCCCGCACCAGCAGGCACCAGTGGGTGGGCTCGGCGCGGAAGGGA